TACTTGTAGTCTCTACTTGTAGTCTCTACTTGTAGTCACTACTTGTAGTCTCTACTTGTAGTCTCTACTTGTAGTCTCTAAGATACCTACTTCTTCTTCACAGGAGCCATTTTGACGTGAGGGTACACACAGGTGTTACCAATGACACTAATTAGTGTAGTGTCAATGTAGTGTAGCAGAGCCTTTCCAGTGAGCCACCATGGACAGTAGCAGCACCCTGACCCAGTTTGACCTGAATGGATCAGAACCTTAATTGGTATCATTAATAACACCTGTGTTTACCCTACTATCTCATGGAAAATGGCTTCTTTGACAAAGGTCTATTATTCACATACATAACTCTGGGATACCTTCACTTAATGGTGATATATATTTCAGGAGATGGTCCAGACGAGGAGACCTTTGACGATGAAGAAGCAGCCCTTCCTCCTGATTTGGAGTGGTTAGAAGAGTTGTATGAGTGGGTGGTTCTTGCTTTTCTGTGAATCATATCGCTTTTAGACAACACAAATGTCTATGTGTTCATCTTTAATCGTGTTATCTCCCTCTCAGTACTTAGAACATTACTGTGATTCTCAATATAATATTTTAATGGAAAATAATAATGATAATAATAAAGCTCAATTTTGTTTTGTTGTTTGTTTTTTTCTTTAATTTATTAATCATGTTTTCACCGTCATAAAACCTCAGTACAAATATCTCCATGCTTAATAGTGGTATAATTTTATGTATGTGCTAATGAATAGTCAGGTTTAACATACAGCGTTGTCTAAATGTCATTTTTGCATCTGCCCAAAGAGACGACGATGGCGATGGCAATGGCGACCTCGCGTTTGCGGCTGACAGTGGTAAGAAGAGGAATTATGCCGCGACAGCACGGATGTTCAAGCTGAGACGAAACCTGGACCAGCTGGACTGCTTTCACCGACAGAAGGAGCATGACGTGCTGAAAGCCAGGTCTGGATCTGGCAACCAACAGCCCTCTAGAGCCACAGTAGCTCCTTAACCTAGATAGCCATCCCTGTGCCTTCCTAGACTACTGAAACCTGATCACAATGGAGAACTTTACATTTGTTTTGGTTTTTTAGTATGAACACCAAAAAAAGTGTCATTGCATCGCTAAGAAAAAACTATTTCCCACAATCTTTTCAGTTTCAGAGTTATTCCACTTTCCCAGGTCTCTTCCCCCCTTTGCCCTTGTCACACAGGGCCAATCATTTCTGTACCAATTGATTCAGCACTGCAGGAAATCATTTCAGCTGAAGAGAGAACATTTCCCATAATGTCCTCTCTCCCCACTTTTCTTCGCTCCGTTTTATTTGTCTGCACTGCGAGCCATTAAGCACCCGATGAACTGTGATGCGGTCCCTGGCAAAAATGGCTGTCATTTTCCTTTAGCACAAAACGTCAAAGGTCAGAGTGGAGCAGTGCT